TGCGCCGATGGGCGCGCCCGCCCCCCTCCCGCCGTACTGCGCCCAAGAGCGGCGCCGCGAAAAAACGCGCGGTGCGGTGCTCCGGCCGTAATGCTCCGAGCGGCAGCGCACCCCAAAGCCGGCCGGGGGTGCGCTGGGGAAGGTGTCCCCGGCCAGCCCTTGGGAGGTGTGGGGTGATCCGGGACAGACAGGGGTAGTTTGCAGAGGGGTGTCCAGCACCAGGCCCGGGGGGATCAGGGGATTCGTCCTGGGCCAGCCCTGGCGGGCTCCAGGGGTACCCCCAGGCAGCCCATGGGGTGTCTGTGGGGGTGTCCTGGGGCAGCCTTTGCAGGGGCTGGGAGGATCCTGCACCAGCTCTGGAGGGGTTTTCTGGGGGGGTGTCCCAGGCTGGCCCCCTGTAGCCCCTTCTCTGGGGGCTCCCTGACCCAGGTGTGGGGTGAGATGGGGACACTGGAGCAGGCTGGGTGTCTGGGGGGACCCCACAGCTTCCCGGGCATCCAGACCCCGTGGCTTGCCCAGAGAATAGGGGTCAAGAGGCCCAGGGCCACAGAGGCGGGGGTCCCACAGCGCCAGGACTGGCCATGCCCCCACCCGTCACCTCCCAGCCCTCTTCTGCCTGAGCGGAGCTGCACAATCTGCCCTTGTCCCCAGCGGATCCAAAGTAGGTCAGGGAGGCTGGGCTGAGCCCCCGGGGAGGGGAGCAGGTGGCAGCGGGGTGCAGAGGGCCCCAGGCACCCGCCCCAGTAGCTGCACCACCAGGTTGGTGCCCACCCCCTGTCCTGGTGGGACCCCGGTGTCCCCAGCCCAGGGGATGTGGGGCATTTCCTCAGCCCCTCTCTGGTTCCCTGGGGTGGTGCAGGATCCCTCTGCATCCTTGCAGGCTCTGCATCCTTCCTGGGAGCCAGAGTCTCATGGCTGCAGTTTGGGCTGGCTGAATCCTGGGGGACGGCACTCAGCGTGGGGACCTGAGGAGCTGGGGTTGGGGACTGAGCATGGGGCTGGGCTGGGCAGCAGCTGAGGGATGAGCACAAGGAATAAGGAAGATGAGAGAGGGATTTCTCACCCCTCAATTGCAGTTAATAATTGATGAATGTTTTTACTGCAGGAGGCAAAGTTCTCTAGCGGTATCAGGGTGTGAGCGCAGAGCAGCCCGCCCGGCAGCATCCCCAGCGACGCGACTGCAGGTAAGGGATGTCGGCCCCTGCCCCGGCCCCCACGGGCACCGTGGCCCATTGTGGGGGGAGGTGGGGGTGTCTGTCAGCTGTGAGGCTGCCCACAGGCCATGGCACAAAGAGGGGGATACCATGGTGGTGTCACAGATTGCTCGTGGGCTCCAAGTGCTGCTTGGTGTGGCCCAGTTGGGCCCAAGCAATGGAGCCTCTAGCCATGCCCAGGAGAGGCTCCTGGGGTCCCCAAGCACCCCGATGGTCTCCAGCACCTGGAGGCCAACACTGTCCCCCCACGCCATGTCCCCAAGGAGCCTGTGCCCGGGTGTTGTGGCATGGAGCCTGATGCTTGCTCACCAGCTTGGCTCAGCAGAGGGGATTGTCCCTACCAGAGCCCCTCCTGCCCCAGTGGCTGCTCCCCAGGAGGGATTTGGGGTGGCTGATGGGATCAGGCACACATCAGCCCAGGTGCTTGTTCTCTGGTGTGTGTCCACAGGCTCGCTGGCAGGATGGCATGGCGTTCGCTGGTGCTGCTCCCCTTCCTCCTGGCAGCAGGTGAGGACTTTGCTCCGTGGCTGGCATGGATGGGCAGGAGGTGTTGGAGGTGCTTTCAGCCCCCAACACTAGTTCCAAATTCCCTGAGGGCAGCTGAGACCCCCAAAACAGCTGCCCACCCCATTGGCACCTTGGACACCCAATGGCAACCTTGCTGCCCCAGGGCAAGGCAGAGCGGGCAGGGGGCTGGGCAGTGGGGGTAGCATCCAGCATGGGTGCTGCAGCTGGAGGACAAGTGTGGTCTGGAGGTGAGAGGTGTGGGATGAGCATGAGGAAGGTGAGGGGTGGTGGGTTCCCCTGCCTCCTCTGGAGACCCAAAACACAGCCAGGAGCTGGGGCTGGGGCTAGGGAGGTGCTGCCAGGCACAGGGGTGCAGGGTGCAGGCAGAGCTCGGTGCAGAGGTGGTGCTCAGCACACCTCGTCCTTGTAGTTTCAGGCAACACAGCCCCCTTCTTCAACATGACCTTCGTCTATGTGCCTGAAGACCTGGAGTTGGGTGAGTGGAGCAGTCTTGGGGGAGCCCCAGGGTACACGAGGAGCAGCCAGAGGGTCCTCGAGCAGGGACTGATGCTGCCTGTGCCCCCAGGCCAGCAAGCTTTCCAGCTGAAGGCTATTGACTTTGATGGGGACCCGCTCACCTACAGCATCAGTGGGCCGGAGTCCTTCTACTTCTCTGTCGATGCCCAGACAGGCAGTGTGATACTGAGGAACTCCCTGGACCGCGAGGTGAGGGCAGAGACCAGGGCAGATCTCCCTGCCTGAGCTGGGGGGTCTGGGGTGATGGGAATGGAGGGCAGAGCCATGAGACCTGTGGGAGAGCTGCTCATGGTGGTGCTGTGGATCACTCCCTGGCCCTGAAGCCCGGCTCCAGGGGGGAGAGCTATCTGGGAGGAGCATCCCACCCAGGGGTGGCAGGTGGGAGGGCACTGGGGCTCAGCCATCCAAGGATCAAGCTCTGCCTGGCGCTGACCAAGTCCTGCCTTATGTCCCTCCCAGCACCAGGCCAGGCTCACCATCACCGTCAGGGTGTTCGATGGGACGAACGATGCAGTGAGTGCTGGGGCATGGGCTGGGTGGCTGAAGCGGGTGATGGGGACGGGGAGGGGAGCAGGGTCTCAGTGAGGCTGTGGACGAGGCTCGGTGGGGAAGGGGGCTGGAGGTGGGCTTTGCCCAGGGGCAGGTGATGCTGGCTGACTTCAGAGCCAAGGTGGGCATGGGATGCCAGAACTGCACCCAGCTCTGCTGGTCACCATCTCCCGCACCCATCCCATGCCCTCCCTGTCACCCGGTAGGTCTCCAGAAAACTTGCCATCATTGTGGAGGACCGTAACGACAACGCTCCAGTCTTCCAGCACCTGCCATATGAAACCTTCGTCCCTGAGGTACCTCCCCAGGACCTCCCGTCCCCACGGGCAGCAGGGCAGGGGTGCTGGGTGCCTCCTGTGGCATGGGTGCGCCGGGAACAGGCTGACCCTACACTCGGGCATGCAGTGACAGCGTGCCTGGGCGTGAGGCGATGGTGCAGCCGTCGCGGCTGACCTGGGAGCACTCCGTGCCAGGGCAGTTCCCGGCAGGGGCCTCTCTGCCTGTCTGAGGCACTGACGCATGGCTGGGACTCTGCCCTTGCGATGAGCTTCTGATCAGGGAGTGCCCGAGCTGCCGCTCTGGCTGGGCCAGGGTGAGGCCAGATTGGGGTGCATACAGGGTGTGGGGTTCACCCCAACTCCCCTCTGGCACCCCAGGGCCGGGGTGCAGCCCCTGCGCCCAGGGAGCTCTGGGGAGGGTGGCAGGGTGGATCCGGCCTCTGCCTTGTGTGAGCAAGGGCAGCAGCTCGTCCCTGCATGGCCCACTGCACTGGGTAGCCCCTGGAGCCCTGCGGGGCCAGAGCACCCCACAGCAGGGCTGGCAGGGGCTGGGCCCAGCACTACCCCTCCTGCTCTCCTGGGTGATGCCACCCCCCCACCACTGTGTGCCCAGAACACGAAACCTGGCAGCATCATCTACACCGTGTTTGCCAACGACATTGACACCGGGAACGCCTCCAAAGTCAGCTACAGCATCGAGGAGGTGAGCACAATGCATTGCAGTGGGGCATGCTGTACCCGAAACCCATCCCTGAGCCACCCCTGTGGGGCAGAAGGTGCTGGGTGACCCAGCCAGGGGCAGCCCCATGGCTCTGGGGGAGCAGGGATATGTGTCGGGTCAGGAGGGCTGGCTCTGCACCCACTGGGCAATGGGTGCAAGGTGCTGAACAGTTGCAAGCTGGGGATGAGCCAGGTGGTAGGGGGTCCCCACAGCCTGTGGGCCAAGCCTGGCAGAAGGTTGGGGATTGAGCCCCCATCCCTGCTTGGGCACGTCTGCTCCCTGCCTTGGTGACATGGGGTGATGTCCCCTGCTCAGGTGATCCCAGACAACACAAAGAATCGCTGGCTTTTCTACATCCTGGCCAACGGGAACGTGGTGCTCAATGGCTCACTGGACTATGCCAAGAACACCTTCTACCAGCTCAAGATCCTCGCCAAGGTGGGGACCAGCCAGGCCGGGGGTGCAGGACTGCCAGGTAAGGATGCCATGGGGCTAACAGGTGCTCCGCTCCCCAGGATGGTGGGGGAATGCTGCACAACGTGTTGACCTTCCAGAATAGCTCAACCTACCTGTCCATGACCATCCTCGACCAGCCCAATCTGGACCCACGGTTCCTCAACGAGCCCTACTCCAGCTCCGTACCCGAGAACTGCGCCCTGGTAAGAAGCCTGCCTGCCCCATAGCATGTCCCTACCCCTGGCCCTCCCTGGGGGCTCTGACGACCCAGGGCATCTGGGCCACCAGGCATGGGGGCAGCTGGAGACATCATAGGTCCTGCCTTGATGGCCATGTCCCCAATAGGGCACCACTGTGCTGACGGTCACCGCCATGGACAGAGACACAGGGGTGAATGATGAAATCTCCTACAGCATCACCAGTGAGTGATGGGGCAGGGTGGGATGGGCAGGGAGTGAGCAGTGGCAGGGTGGGATGGGCAGGAGGGGGGGATCAGGCAGCAAGGGGCGCCACAGGGACTGGTTCTGGGCTCCCAGGCACTGCCAGCATGCTCTGCTGGCAGAGAGGGCCAGGCCTGAGTTTCCCCGTGGCTGCAGCTGATTCCTGCTGTCCCGTTGCCCTAGATGCCAGTGTCCCCTTTGCTATCAGTTCCACGACGGGCACCATCACTGTGAGTGGGCTCCTGGATCGTGAGCAGCTGCCAGGCGAGGAGGTGCTACTGGAAGTCATGGTGAGTAGGAGGCAGCAAGGGGAACCCCATCCTCTTCCTCTCCCCTGGCCCCTCCGACCAGCTCTCTCCTCCTGCCCAGGCGCGTGAGATGCACCTGGACATCCATGGCAAGGTGGCCCTGGCCAGGACCCTGGTGGCAGTCACGGTGACCGATGTCAATGACAACAAGCCCCAGTTCTACCACTGCTCCCTTCCCAGCTGCAACTTCTCCACCAGTGCCCAGAACAACTTCAGGGGCAACATCATAGAGCACTCCTCCTCCAGACTGCCCGTGTCCAACCTCAGCATCGTCGCCCACGACCCGGACAAGGTGGGAGCCTGTCCAGGGGGCTGAGAAAGGGTGCAGGTGTTTTTCCTTGCTGCACCACCCACCCTCACTCCTGTGTGTCTCTCCCGGCAGAGCATCAACAGCAATTATGAGCTGTACCTGCAGGGTCCGAATGCCAGCGCCTTCACTGTCTCCCCCACAAAGATCGTGGGCACAGGGGAGGTCCAGCTCCTGGTTCAAGACCCATCCTCTGTGGACTATGAGATAAGCCATATCATGGTGGTGCAGGTGGGACCCGTAGGGCTGGCTCACTGTGGGGGCATTCCCTGCTCCCTGCATATGCTGGGGCACAGCGGGGACACAGCCCTTCTCCTGCAGAGTTCAAAAGCCAAAGCACAACGTGGCTCTGCCCTGGCAGCTTGCTTGGTGCAGGGGAGCTGGGCTGGAGTGTGACACGTCTCTTTCTTATGTTTGGGGACCCATGTGAGACACTGTCCCTTCTCCATCCTGCAGATCATTGCAAATGACACGGGAAACCCCGCAGACTGCTGCTCCACAGCCACTGTGACCATCAGCCTCATTGACAGCAATGACCACATCCCTGAGTTCCCCCAGAACACCTACAACCTGAGTGTGATGGAGGGCAGCCCTGCTGGCACCGTCATCTCCCCAAACATCACGGTCAGGCACTGGGCAGGGAGTGGGCACAGCTTACGTCCCCCAAGCAGGATGCTGGGCACGCCTGGCACCACTAATGCAGCTTGCGTTGAGGGCACTGGTCTCTCCATGGACACAGGAAGGAGGTGGTGCCAGCGGGCACACAGACTGTGGGACCCTGTGCCCATCAGGGCCACATTTTTGGGGTGCTCACTGCCAGCAGCCAGTGCCCCAGACTCATCACTGCTTTGGGGGCTAAGGCAGACTGAACAGACCCTTCCTTCTCTCTTTTAGGCCTACGATCCGGACAGTGGTGTCCTGGGCCAGATCACCTACCAGCTGCTCCCGGAGAGCATGTACGTACGGGCACAAGCAGCCATGACCAGGATATTGTCCTGGAGAGGGGGCTCCAGGCCTGAGCCCTGGTGATGGCTCTGTGTGTGCCGTAGCCGTAAAATCTTCATGGTGAACGCCACGACTGGGGCAGTACTGGTGCAGAACGGGAGCTTGCTGGACCGGGAGACTCGCTCCATCTACTATGCCAACCTCCAGGCCAAGGATGGGGGCAACCTGGTGGGCACCACAGTGCTGGAGATCACTGTGCTGGATTACAACGACATGGCACCCATCATCACCGGCTCCTACTTCATCTCAGTGGAAGAGGGGCTGAACATCACAACGCAGATCCAGGTATGCACTAATGGAGGTGGAGGGGACAATGGGAGGCTGTCAGAGAGGAGCAGGGACTGTCCCCGTGGTGCTGGACAGCCCTGTTCCAACCCCTGACCTTTTCAGGCTATTGACAATGACGAGCCTGGCAACCTCAACAGCAAATTGGGCTTCAAGATCTTGCCAGGACCATTCAGCAACAACTTCACCATCAACGCATCCACAGGTGAGATGCACAGCAAGGAGCCACTGGACCGCGAGGCCTTGGAAGACGAGCAGGGGCAGATGGTGGTGACTGTGGAGGTGTATGACCACGGCACACCACCACTCAGCACCTTGGTGAATGTCACCATCACTGTGGGGGTAAGCCCGGGGCACAAGAGGGGACACACTGGGGCAGGCCGGGGCTTGGAGCTGAGATGGATGGGCAGGGAAGGGATGTGGGATTCCTGGCCGTGGCAGAGGCACCATGTTCCCAGGCTCCCTGTGGGGGTGGAGGGAAGAGTTGATGCAGGGAGGCAGGAGAGGGCTTGTGTCTCTCCTGCCTGCAGGCAGGCAGGTGTCCACACTCCTGTCCCCAGCCTGCTGTGGGGCACCCTGTTTCCTGGAGCAGCTACAACCATGGGCTTTGTCTCCTGCAGGACACAAACGACAATGCACCCATGTTCCTCAAACAGTTCTATGAGTTCTCAGTCTTTGAAGACTCTCCAGGTAGAAGTTGCACAACCAGATTCGTGGGACCAGTGGTGTCCCTGAGTCAGTGCCCACTGGCCACTGAGTGTCTGTCTCCACCTGCAGAGTCCCTCGTGGGTGTGGTGGAGGCCACAGATGCCGACCAAACAGACATCAATTCCCGCATTTCCTTCCTGCTTCAGAGGGGTAGTGGCTCCAGCAACTTCTTGATCCGCTCATCCCGCCTAGGGCCAGGGCACTATGATGGGCAGCTGTCTGTGGACCCCGACATGTCCCTGGACTATGACACCCTGAAGCAGAAGTTATTCTCCTTGGTGGTGCTGGCAGAGAACACAGCCGCAGAGAACATGGGGGACACTGCCAATGTCTCGGTGGTGGTCCACATCCTAGACATCAATGATGAGCCCCCCACTGTCCTGCCTTTCTCGCTGAAGGATGTGCATGTAAGCGAGAACGGCACGCAGCAGGGTCTGGTCCACACGCTGATCGCCTCTGACCCAGACACCAACCACTCACTGGTCTTTGAGGAGCTGGCGGTCACCTGCTTCAAGGGGGCGAGCAGTGCCGGGGGGGTGTGCTGGGACTGGTTCGTGCTGGCACCCAATGGCTCAGTGCTGGTGAACAGCTCGGACATTGACTACGAACTGTGCGACAGGGTGGTGCTCACGCTGCGGGCTGAAGACCTGTACACCGAGAGGGGCAACCGCTACAGCCAGAATGGTACGGCACCCACTCCCCGCTCCTCCTACTGCCACTGGGCATGGGGGGAGGTGGGCCCTGCCTCTCCCACCTCCCAGGAGGAGCTGTGGGGAGCGGGGTGGGAGCTGGGTGATTTGGCAATGGAGGGAGGGTGTCCCCAGTTCTTTTGGTCCCTGCCATCGAGACCTGAGCCTGGTGGGAGGATGGGACTCCCAGGGGAAGCAGAGGAGGGTGCTGCAGGGCTGCTCTGTTGGTGACCAGAGTTCTGCTTTTGGGGCATTTGTAGAAACCCTAAGGATCCTCATCACTGATGTGAATGACAACACGCCGCTCTTCCTGCCCATCATGGAGACCTTCGGTGAGAAGCTGGGGCTGGTGCATCCTGTGGGCTCCTCTCTGCACCCACACATGCTCTGCCATGCTCTCTGGCAGCAGGCACCTTCCCCCAGCCACGGCAGGGCTGTGAGAGGTGCAGGAGCCAGGCTGGGGTTACTCAATGCTTTCCATGAAGGCTGTGGGGCTGAGGGCAGTGGGGGGATGCTTGGAGCTCTGCTGAGCCCTGGGGTTGTGTGGGCATGAGGTCTGCAGCAAGCCTGGCTGCACACCAGCATGACTGCACCATCCATCTGTCTTTCCCTGGCAGTGGTTGTCCCCGAAATCTCTCCTGTGGACCTGCAAGTGGCTACCGTAAAGGTGAGGAGCTGTGTGCGTGCGTCTGTCAGTCTGTGGAGCTGGGCTCGCCTCTCCCCACTGTGGGCAGGCAGTGGCCTTTCCCATCCATGCTCCTGCCATGCTTTTTCCCTGCAGGCCACGGACGGTGACTCAGGGCTGAAGGGAACCATCATCTTCTCCATTGTCAGTGTGGTGCTCGTGGACGACAACGGGGTCAGCCGGCCCTTCGAGAACCTCTTCAAGGTGGTGACAACGCCTGAGCAGGACAGCTATGTCGGGAGCATCCAGTGAGGCCATGGGTCTGGGCCAGGGTGGGGGGCACGTGGCTCAGCTCCTGCCTGCCACAAGGCAGAGGTGCAGGCAGGGCCAGTGCAGGCTGGCAAGGGGACAAATCCATCCTGGGGTCCTGCCCTGGGCATGGTGGCAGGGTGGAGCTTGGGGGATGGTGACACCCTGCCAGGGATGTCCCATGGGATCGCCGACATCCCCATCTTGCAGGGTGGCCAGCAACCTCGATGGCTCACTGAAGGGGCAGTACCAGGTGACAGTGGAGGCTCAGGACCGTGAGGCACCAGTTCACACAGCACAGACCATGCTGAACGTGAGTGTCACGCCTGCCCCCCCATCCAGGGACGCCCCACGGCCTGCCCAGCCCTGCTCACCCCTGCTCTCCCCACACAGATCTTTGCAGTAGATCAGAGCTACCGCATTCGCCTCCAGTTCATGACAACGGTGGATGAAGTCCAGAGTAACTCTGAAAATATCAAAGTGTAAGGGGTGCTGGGCTGGGGTGGTTGGTGCATGGCTGGGCAGCAGGGGACACGAGCATGCAGGCCAGGACCCACCGACCGTCTTTCCCAGCTTCATAGACCATGAAGGGGACCAAGGCAGGCAGGTCCCCACCAGAGCCAGGGACTGCAGGGGGTCCAGCCGCTTCCCGTGCCCACGAGCAAAGCAGCAGGACACCCAGCCCAGCCTCCCTCCATCCTTCCTGTTCCTAGGGCCCTGACCACCGCAACTAAGGCAGGGGTCTACGTGGTGGCCATCCGGACCATAGAGGAGACCCGTGCCGCCCAGTGAGTGGGGCCATGCAGGTGGTGGGGAAGGGGACGTGGTGGTGGCATCGGAGGGGGTCACCCTGGGGCAGGGCACCATGCCCTGCACCCCACTCATGCCGTCTTTTGATCCCGCAGGGTGAAAGCCAAGTCAGTAATGGAGGCGTACTTCGTCTACAGCAACGGCACTGCCCTGGACGTCAACCAGCTGAGCGTGTGCGTGCTGGGCCGGGGGCCGCGCATGGGCACTGCCACACGCCTGGACCGGCCCCGCCGCTCACGCCTCCGCTTTCCTCGGCAGGCTCATACAGTCCAACCCGCTGGTCCTGGCTGAGCTGGTGAACCTGGGCCTGGCCGTCATTGTGAGTGGGGCCGGGCAAGGGGCACAGAGAGAGGGCACCAGCAACATGTGGGGCTGGGGGGTGGTCCGCTGGCCAGGGCTGTGCCCTCACCCCTGCTCTGCACCAGGGCCCCGGGGAGGTGGCAAAGCCCACCAGGGAGACAGAGCTGATTGGCATCATCGCAGGGCTGGCAGCGTTCCTGCTCATCTTCATCCTCATCATAACCCTGGTCTTGATTCTCACCACCAGGAGGTACCGCACCGCCCGCACCCCCTCCTGCCTCGCCCACCACCCCCATCCTCACCGGCAACCCTAAACCTATCCCCTACCTTCCATCCCACTCCTTTCCACCCCATCCCATGGCCCAGCTCCCCCTGCCCCTCTCACACGCCCTGTCACTGGGCTTTGCAGCTACAAGAGGAAGCTGAGTGCGATGAAGGCTCTGAAAGCAGCCACAACGTTCAGCCCTGCCGTGGCACAGCAGGGAGCCGGCATCCCCGGGACCAACCAGTACAATGCAGAGGGGTGAGTGGGGGCAACCTGTGGCAGGAGGGGAGAGCCCAGGCATGTCCCCCACACCCAGGGGCTGCAGGGCTCGCTGTCACACCCCTCCTGCCTGGGGAGACATGGCTACCCTGGGCTGACCCCACAGCCCCACGGGACGGTCACTCACCTACCACCCGTCCCTGGCCAGGGCCAACCCTATGCTGAACCTCTCGCTCAATCCCTCCCACGACCTGGGCTTTCATGAGGACTCCATCTCTGTAGCCAGGTGAGCTCTGTGGGCAGGTCTCAAAGGCCACAGGGCCATCACCCTGTGTCCCCACTCCGCCAGTGCCAGGGCCCTCTTCTACCCCCCCACCCTCCACTCTCCACAGCATGAATTCCCTGGATGAAAACACAGTAAATGCACCTGGGGACAACAACCTCAAGGCCAAGGTGAGTGTGCAAAGAACTGCTGGTGCCCAGCAGGGAGTCCTCCCACCACACCCCCCTGTCCCCTCCTCTCTGCTCTGGTTCCCGGGCTCCTGGATCCCTCATATCCCTCATAACCTCTCCATCCCTTTGCCAGCCCCCAGCTCCTAGGAAAGACAGGAGTGTCCCTGTCTCCCATCTCTGTCCTCATCCCCTCTGACCACACTCTCCTTCTGCAGCAGGGCAAAACACAGCTGACAGACCCCAGTGACGAGGAGGTGCTGGTGGCCGCCCTGAACCTGAAGGAGCCCACCAAAACAGCATACATCAACACCACCTTCACCACCACAGACTTGTGAGCAGGCGCAGGCGTGCAGCAGGGCCGGAGCGGGACTTGGGCAGCTGCTTTGATGATGTTGTGTTCAGAGGCTGGTAATAAACCTGTCCCACTGGGGTCATAGTGTCCTGCGGCCATCACCCCAGGGGGCTCAGCCAGCTTGGGGGCATCTCTCCTGGCACAAGGTGCTGGTTTTGGGCCAGGCTGGTGCCAGAAGGGAGGTGAGTGCCACCACGGGGCTCAGCCTGGCTTCTTGTCCCCAGTACCCTTCCCTGGGCTGCCCCACTGTCCCCTGGCCCCGCTCAGCCCCAGGGGAAGGAGGTGCAGGCAGCCCCACTCACAGGTTTGTGCAAGGTTTTATTACCCAACATCCACGTTGACAAGTTGGTCCTCCCCCCCCTTCCTCCCCCCACCCCCAAAAAAAGAAGTGAAGAGGAAAAAAAGAAGAAAGTAGGTGATGAAGCCGCAACGCCAGTGTGCCGCAGCCTGGTGTGCCGCAGCTCGGGGCTGGAGGTGGGGGACAGCCCAGGGTGGGGGGGATGGGGATGCCCCAGGGCTCCCGGTCTTCCCCGAGTGCCCATGACACTGTTCCCGCAGCCCAAGGCACTGAGCAGAGCCAGCACAGAGCAGGCACCAGCTGCAGCTCTGACTGCCAGCTGGTGCTTCAGCGAGCCCTTCACAGCACACCCCCCCCGGGGCAAGAGACAGCCCCGCAGGCCCAAAACAAGCCCAGGATGTACAACAGGGGTCTGGGGGGGCAAGACTTGCCCCTTAAAGAGAGGAAGTGGCTGCACTGGTGACCCTGGCACCTTAAGCTCTCCTGCACCTCTGCCCAGAGGGGATGGTGCAGCTCCTCAAGCACCCCCGTTTGCAGCCTCTTGCCTATCAGGTGCTGGGCACAGATGGGCACAGACCTGGCCTCCACCTTGCTGAGGCACTGCGGGGCCGGTCCTCTGCACGGGGCCAGGCTGGAGGGGCCGAGACCCGCGTCTCGGCAGGACGCCGTGGTGCTGCTGGCCACGGGGATGCTCACCCCCCTGCATGCCGACCCTTTGCTCCCGACGCTCTCCAGGCCGGCGGGGCGCAGGCAACATAGGAAAAGTGTTTGAAAAGAGGGTCACGGCCCCGCAGGCCACTAGGGAGGAGGTGGCTCCAGGCAGGACACGCATGGCTGAAAGTGTCTCTTAAAAAGCTCCAAAAATGCAAACACGGTTCAATAAAAGCCCCCCCCACCCCCCACCCTGTAAAACCCCAGCTGTAAAAAGTGGCAGCGCTTTGCAGCCTTCGCATCCCTGGCTGCCATCAGACGAGAGCAGCCAGCAGGGCCGGAGGGACCCGCACAGGGACACACATCCACATCCCCAGCATGTGGTGCCTCTCTGGCACCGGGGCAGCTGGACAGGCCGGGTGGCAGGGCAGCCTTCATCCCCACCACCAGCCATGGCGAGGATGTGCCAAGGGCTCTGATGGCTGCTCCCAGGCAGATCCCCAGGCAGGGTGAGCTGGAGGCCATGGGGACAGACTCCCCAAGTGCCTCCAGCCACAGTGATGGCGATAAGCGGCTCTCCACCACAGCTGTAGTTGGCCCCAGTCTCTCCCATTTGAGATGTGTCCCAGTGCCCCGTGTGGCCACATCCTCCGAGCGCCGGGGCACCCACGGTACGGCAGTGGGGCAGAGAGGACAGGGCTGTGGAGGTCCAGGCTGAACGCCCCTGCACTGGGCAGCCATGGAGACCCGCATATGCACAGCCATGGGCTGGTCAGAGCGTGGCCGAGCCCTGGACAGGCAAAGCGGTGGCATGGCGACGCACCAGCGTCTCTCCAGCACGGGGAGCAATGCTGCTGCCTTGTGTGCGAGCGAGGCCAGAGCTCGGGGAAGCCAGCAGTGACCTGCCCATGCCCACCCGGAGCCATGTCCAGACCTGTGCCACGGGCAGGAGATGCCACGGAGCAGCCATCTCCGGCTAGAAGGAGCCACATGCTTCCTCGTGCTGAAAAAAGCCACCAAGCACAGAGACAGGGCACCAGCCTCACGTCCCAGGGCACCTCCACGGGGCTAGGCTGGTGGGGGGACGCCAGGCTGGCAGGGGGACCCCCGGCAAAGGAGATACCTCGCCCCAGCGTGCAGTGCTCCATCACCGCCTGCCCCAGCCCCAGGAGCCCCACACACTGGCAGCGGGCATCTCGGGACGCTGGGGCAGAGAGCCCTCCCCGCTTCCCCCGAGAAGCCCCACAGCACCCCCACCCCACCGGCGCAGGCAGCGGCTCACTCCATGGCGGGGCCGGTGCGGGAGCAGCACCGGGGCCGCCGGACATTTTGCAGCAGAGCCCGAAAGATGCTGGGCTGCCTCTTGGCTTCACCTTTGCGGGGGGCTCCCTTGACGGAGCCGGCACGGGTGCTCTGGGGGGTCATCACCACCTGCCGCCCGTGCTCCTCGATCTGCTTCTCCAGGTGCTTCTGGATGGCCATGCCCAGCACCTCCACCTCCATGGAGGCCCCATACACCTCCCACGTCATCCCCTTCTCGTCCCAGCTCACCTCCCGGATGGGCTCCGGAGCCTCCTCCGCCACTGTCCCCTTCACATGCACCTCGGGGTACGAGGCCTGCGGGGACTTGGCCACTGGCGTCATGGGCCCAGTGGCCACCGAGCGGGTCTCCACAGGCATGGACACCTGCATCTCTGCGTCCTTCTTGGAGGGCTCTGGGTGCGGGGGGGCAACAGAGCCCGTCTCTCTCTTGGGGAACGTGAAGGCAGCAGCCCCACCCGGGGGGCTCATGGGGCTCAAGGCCACCGACACCAGGGACGCTCGGCTGTCCACTTGCGTCCCCGTGTCCTGCATCCCGGCATCCTGCGGTGGGGTCACCTTAAAGGAGTAGGACTCACAGAGCAGCTTGGCTGTCCGGGGCTGCTGGCTGCTCCCGGCATCCACACCCTGGGCTGGGCTCCCCTCAGCTCTGCCCTGGCCCAGGGCAGCAGGGCTCAGCCCTGCCTCGCCTTGGTCCCCACTCCCCACAGTGCCGGTGCCAGCGGGGTCTGCTGTGCCCCCCTGGGGGTGCTTGGGAGCCTCACTGCTCCTTAGCTGGGGCGCAGCGCTCAAGGATGTCCCTGTGCCACCCTGGGGCTGCTCCTGGCTTGGAAGTTCAGTTGCTCCGGTGCCCACGGCAGGCTCCACGAACGCCACGTGTTTGGCAGGAGCCGGCACGCTCCCCATGTCCTTGCTGGGCGCCTTGAGGCAGGGCTCAGGCAGGGGGGGCACAGGGGCTGTGTTCTCCTTCTGGGTGCTGGGGACCCCCATCCCCACGGGACCACAGGCAGGGGCAGCGCCACTTGGTTCCCCGCAGCTCCCCGCCACTGCCGCCACACTTGGCTCCACACCAGCGTCTGGGAGAAGCGTGCTGGGAGCCGGTCCGGTCGGTGATGGCACCTTCTCCACCGCTGGGCTGGCCATGGTGCCCTGGGCCTCCAGCTCAGCCACGCAGCAGGTCCTCATGGCACGGCCGCCCGCGGCACAGCCGGAGCCGGGCAGGCACTCGCCCACTGGTGGGCAGCCAGGGGAGCTGGCGCTGGGCTCACAGGTGTCCTCGGCCCCGGCCTGGCGGCTCAGCAGTTGCAGCCCCTCGGGCTCCTTAGCACTGCCCATGCCCGGGGAAGGCTTCTCCCATGCTAGTCCCGCTGCTGGTCTGCAAGAGAGAGGATGGGGCAGTGAGGAGAAGCAGTGCGTGGACACCCAGTCCCTCTCGGTTGCCAACTGTTTTTCTCCATGCCACCCGTGACAACAGGTTGGGTGGCCGCCTGGAGCACCCACCAGCCCCAGCACAGCCTGTGTGGTGGCAGCCGGTGCCTGGCCCCACGAGAAGGGAGGAACGGTGTCGGTTGCCTACCGTAAAAGCCAGCCTTCCCCTGGCGCGGCCAGACTGGGAGCACGATCCAGGCGCTGCTGCAGCTGCTGGAGGGGGGGACGTGGTGCAGGCACCCCTGTGGAGAGAGCAGCAGCTGGAGAGCCTGGGATGAGAGCCTGGGATGCTCGGTCCGGGCATCAGGCTGAGAGCCTGGGATGCTCGGCACCCCCTGCCTGCCAGTGGGGAGCTGGGCACAGTGTGGGGTGAGACCGAGCTGGGCCTAGGGCTTGAGATGTGCTGCAGGGCATGGCAGGGGCACGGGCCAGGCCAAGTCCTTCCCTCTGCTCGCTGGGACCAGCATCCCCGGAGCTGGGAGTGACATGCGTCCCCCAGCCACGGGAACCCCCAGCTCAGCACCTACGCCCCGTGTTGCGGATGTGCCGAGCTCCCCGCCATGCTGCGCAGAGCTGGCTGCAGGCAGGCACCCCGGCACAGCGGGGGGACACAGGTTGCAGTCACCCAACTGGCCCCAAACCCTCCCAAACCCCATGGGACAGCCCTGTAGCAGGAGCATGGCGGGAAACCCCAAGTTCTCCAGGAGCCCCCCAGCTTTGCCAGTGCCAGCGAGTCCCTTGGGAGCTGGGAGCACATGGGTCCCACAGCCGTAAGGCACTCCATGCCTCTGGCCACGGCCACTCGTGGGTCCCGGAGAGGGCAGAGCCAGGCAGACGTGGCTGGAGCCAAGTGAGTTCCCCCCAAGGGAAGCAGCAGGAGCAGGGACCAGGCTGGTACCGACCCCCCTGCGGCCGCCCAGCACCGCTGGAGCCCCGGAGACAACGACACCGACCCCCCCCCCCATCCCTGTCTTCCCACGCAGCACCCCGTTCCCGGGGGGGGGGGGGGCCGGCCCCCCGCCCCCCCCCCCCCCCCGGCCCCCCCC